AGAGAAACTACTGTGTGTGTAAAGTGTTGGTGGCCACAAAGGGGGGGGGGTATTCCTCAGGAGTCACCATGACTTTGCTGTTCAGACAAACGGGGGGGGGGTATCCCAAGAGGAAGCACCGTGGCAGTTTCCAAGTCCAGCTTAGCCCCCTTTCATTTGCTATCGTGGCTGGAATCCTTCCAAGAGCAAAGTATAGAAACTGGCAGGGAATCCCTCCCCCCCACAGTGGGTATTTCAACACAGATAAACATGATCTGGTTTCAAGGCTGTTGGGAAGCAGGGTCTCCTCCTCCTCCTCCCCCCCCCCCCCCCCCCCGCATGTCCCAAACCTTCATTGCTGTTCTGTGCTTTTCCTCATATCTGTTTTGCAGCAAAGTTTTGAAAGATATCTCACGTAAAGTTGCCTGCTGCCATTTGGGTGGGATGGTTTTTTGTGTCTCTGACCCCCCCATAACCATTTTCTCCCTAATCAGTAGATGGCATTTTTTTTCTTTTTAATAAGTGATTGAACATCCTTATATTGGAACTATCAGTGTCTCAGACACTCTGAATGCCTGGTTTTCATTTTTTTAAAAATCTGTAGCTCTTTTCCTTGTGGAGATAGAAGGGGAAAGGCATATTGTTCCTTTTTTTATATAAAAGCTGACGATTTAAGGGACCTGATAACACAGCTTGTTATAATAATGTTATATTGATATTTGGTTGCCAATATAAAAATTCAAAAATCCCCTCTGTTGTTGGGGGGGAGGGATGGCCTCTGGAGAGAAAGGTGCAGGGGAGGGGATTTCCATGTGGCTGGAATGAGGACTGTCCCAAATCTCCCACCCACACCTCAGTCACGCAAGCTTTGCTGGATCATTCTTCACGTTCAACAGCAAGGTGGGTGTGGGAGAGATCAGAGGAAAGCTGGGGAAACTCTGAGAGGCACATGAATTTACCACGATTCATTGGGGAAGCAGGGAAAGAATAATGCATCCCGGCAGTAATTGAATCTGTGGCAAATGGGAATGATGTGGAGAAGATCAATAGGCAGTTTCCTGTTGGTTTGCTTTTTAATTCATTTTCACCCCATCACCCTATCCTGAACCAGTGACCGGATTAAGATCACCCCAGTAATGAAGTTTAATGACATGCTAGCATTTGAATCCTGGTCTCCTTGGTTCTAGTTCAAGGGAAGCCACTACACTACAGTGACACGGAGTCCTCTTCAAGTTCACTCCCATGTAAGTTACCAAAAGAACATAAGAACATGAGAGAAGCCCATCCAGTCCAACACTCTGTCACACAGTGGCCAGAAATACCAGTGCCATCAGGAGGTCCACCAGTGGGGCCAGGACATTAGAAGCCCTTACACTGTTGACCCCCCCAAGCACCAAGAAGACAGAGCATCACTTGCCCCAGAGCCCCTTTCTATACCTTGTGGCTAATAGCTACTGATGGACCTCTGCTCCATATGCTTATCTAATTCCCCTTTGAAGCCGTCCATGCTTGTAGCCGCCACCACTTCCCGTGGCAGTGAATTCCATGTGTTAATCACTTTTTGGGTGAAGAAGTACTTCCTTTTATCCGTTCTAACCCGACCGCTCAGCAATTTCATGGAGTGCCCGCGAGTTCTTGTATTGTGAGAAAGGGAGAAAAGTACCTCTTTCTCTACCTGCTCTTTCCCATGCATAATCTTATAAACCTCGATCATGTCACCCCTCAGTCGTCTTTTCTCCAAGCTAAAGAGCCCTAAGCGCCTTAACCTTTCCTCATAGGGAAAGTGTTCCAACCCTTTTATAATTCGAGTTGCCCTTTTCTGCACTTTTTCCAAAGCTATAATATCCTTTTTAAGGTGTGGTGACCAGAATTGCACACAGTATTCCAAATGAGGTCGCACCATTGATTTATATAGGGGCATTATGATATTGGCTGATCTGTTTTCAATACCCTTCCTAATAATCCCCAGCATAGTATATAGTTAAATAAATCTTCCTTTTTTGAGTTAAAAAGCCTGGTGTGCCTTGACCACATAGTCCTCCCCGCTCTGCATGTTACCAGGGGCAAAGGGAGGCCAGGGAACACGAATGGGCCTAGATCTGAGGTGCTGCCAACTCTCCAGGGGGCGCCCAAAGATCGAGGTACCCACTTCCCTAGGTGGGGAATTTAGCCAGAGGGGTCTCACTGTCCCTCAAGGAAGGCGATAACTTAATTCAGTGAGTGGTGGCAGCGTTAATAAAGAGAAATAGTGCCACCAGGCAGGGTGGGAAGGCCAAAACGGGCTTGCGAGGCACAGGACGGCACCTCAGTCTGCCAGGGCTGAAGGCAGGTCCCCATTTCGCCACAGGCTTCTCTGTGCTTTTCCCCATATCTATTCTGCAGCAAAGTTTTGGAAGATATCTCAAGTAAAGCCTGGGTGGGCTGCCATTTGAGTGGGACAGTTTTTCCTGTCTCTGACCCCCATAACCATGTTCTCCCTCATCAGTAGATGGCATTTTTTTTCTTTTTAATAAGCGATTGAGCATCCTTATAGTGGAACAGTCAGTGTCTCAGACACTCTGAATGCTTGGTCTAAACTTTCCCCCCAAAAAAATCTGTAGCTCTTTTCCTTGTGGAGATATAAAGGGAAAGGCATGTTGTTTCTTTGCTATGAAAGCTGACAATTTAAGGAACCTGATAACACAGCTTGTTATAATAATGTTATATTGATATTTGGTTGCTTGATATTGGGTTGCAAATATAAAAATGCAAAAAGCCCCTCTTTTGTTCAGGGGGAGGGATAGCCACGGGAAAGAAAGGTGCAGGGGGGGGAATTTCCATGTGGCTGGAATGAGGACAGTCCAAAATCTCCCACCCACACCTCAATCACGCAAGCTTTGCTGGATCATTCTTCACATTCAACAGCAAGGTGGATGTGGGAGAGATCAGAGGAAAGTTGGGGAAACCCTGAGAGGCACATGAATTTACCACGATTTATTGGGGAAGCAGGGAAAGAACAATGCATCCCAGCAGTAATTGAATCTGTGGCAAAGGGAATGATGTGGAAAAAATCAATAGGCAGTTTCTTGTTGGTTTGCTTTTTAATTCATCTTCGCCCCATCCTGAACCAGTACCTGGATAAAGATCACCCCAGTAGTGAAGTTTCATGACATGCTAGCATTTGAATCCCGGTCTCCTTGGTCGTAGTTCAAGGTTAGCCTCTGCACTACAGTGCTGCTGAGTCATCTTCAAGCTCAGTTCCATGTGAGCTTCTAGGATTGTAGATCAGTCAGGCCAGGTGACCGGAATCCAGAACTGGGCACCGACAGATGGGCCACATGTAGCAGAACAACCACATTTTTGTCCATTGTAGCTGAAAACTGCTTCTCCAGCCAGAAACCCAGATTCGGTCGCTTGTCCAAGGTTGCAAATGAGTGTGCTCAGGAAAGTTGCACCCCATCTAAAAGAGGGAAGCTCCGTTCCCTCCAGAAACGACAGCCCCCTACATCTCTGTAGTCCGCTTCGTTGGATGTGGCCTGAACCTCTTCAGCTCCCCATCTTTTCAAGCTGAACCCCGGCCGGGGGGGGGGGTGCTAGCTTGAGGGAGGAGGGGGCATCAGGGAGAACCTCTTTCCCCAGCCTGGTGGGGTCCAGCATGCCGGGGGTGAGTTCCCTGTCCCCCCCCAGAACATCTGGGATTCCAGAGGGATCCATCAGGCTCTTGAGTCCCTCACCCTTTGATCCAGTCTGGGTCCCCCTGTTCTCCAAGGCCGACTCCCCAGTCGTTTCCAGTGATTTTGTGGAGAGATGGAGACAGACTGTCTGGGCAGAGAGGAATTGGGGATGGAGGCTTCCCTCCCGATCCCGAAGGGGAACTCCTCCTCAGACCTCAGGAGGAGAACTAGCCCTAATTCTCTGTGGAAGATGCAGATCACTGGCCCACCTTTTCTCCCCTGACAGGCAGCGAAATGACACCGGAGAGCCTGCCTGGATTGCCAGCTCAGGTAAGGGAAAGATGGGGGAGTCTGCAGGGGTCGATTTGGGTGGTCCCTTCTCAGGGACAGCCTCTAGAGGACCCCTCTCCTGCCCTTGACTTGTGGGGCTGCAGAGGGTCCCTGGTGTGATCAGGTCTGGGCTTCCCCCGTGAACCTGCGGGGAAAATCCTCCTTGTCTGCATCTCCTTGTATGGGGGTGGGGGATCCTGGTCACACCCTCACGTACAGCTGGCCCCAGGGCTTTTTATTTCTTTTGAAACAGAGGTGCCAGAACTCTCAAGAGGGTGATTAAGTTTTTAATTTGTATACTGAAAACTCATGAACTTTTAAAGATTTTTAAAAGTAGTTTGTCAAAGAGGTTCTGGAACTCCATCCCGGTGCGTTCTCCCAGTCCCTGAGCTCGCCTGTCGTGATTCCTCAGGAAGGAAACTTTTCTCTGGTTCCAGGGACGGGTGTCTTTCGAGGAGGTGGCCGTGTACTTCACCGTGGGGGAATGGGCCTTGCTGGATCCCTGCCAGAGAGCGCTGTACAGGGAGGTCATGCTGGAGAATTATGGGATGGTGGTCTCTCTGGGTGCGTATTCCCTTAAAGCCTTGCTCAAGGGATGTATTTGTTCTGTTATTTTTGCTGTGGATGAAGCAGGAAAGGGTTCGTGGGGAAAATGCCCTGGATATTCCTCCTTTGGTTTTTCTGGCCAGCCATTTTCTAAAATCTTTTTCCAGAGGGGGGGAGTCCTGATCTGGTGGCTCCGTGTCAGATTACAGTGAGAAGGCCGAGACACTGAGGCGTATTGTGATACATGCCCATTTATGACGTGCCTTTGAGAGTTCATCATGCCTCGTATGGATCATATTGTAATTCTTTAAGAACCCTGCAGGGTAGGCCACCACTACTGTCCCCATAATACAGATGGAGAACTTTGGGGGTTGGGGGGTTAACACTTTGGCTGAGGTGGGCTTACAAGTGGGTAGAAGCCAAACTCTCCACCTAACACTGCACTATGAGCTCTGTTAAGCAGCAACGTGCCAAGATTTCAGGACGAAGCCTTTTGGGGGCCTGATTTCAGGACTTCATGTGCCAGAGATTGAACCCGGGACTTTCTAAGCCTAGCATGGCTTTCATTTCATCTGCATAATGATCAAAGTGATGCTGTCTAGACCGTGTTGCAGGCGAGAAGGCTCGGAATCCCTGAATAATTCTCTAACCCAGTCCCCTAGAAATAAGTGTTGGTTCTGGGAAAGGACCAGAGCTTGCGGGTAGAACAACTTTTTTGCAGAAGGTCCCCAATTCCATCCTCAAACTTTATCTAAGAAGGAGACTTGGAAATGCCCCTCTCTGCCTGAGACCTTGGAGGGACAGAGGCAGCTGCAGTACTCAGTCCTGGGCAGGATGGGCCAGTAGTCTGACTCTGACACTTAATCTCTTTTTTCTTCACGCAGGATGCCGGGGTTCCACGCCTGCCCTCATCTCCTGGCTGAAGGAAGAAGGCCTCTTTCTCTACAGCTCCACAGAAGACCCTCAGTCAACAGGTAGATGCTTAGATGCTTCACGGGAACCCCTTTGCCTACAGGAAAACCTGCATGATCAGTAAGAAAAGTGCAGATACAATCAAAATGCTGCTGCAGGACAGGCTGATCTGAAGAAGCCCCAGAGCAAGTTCATACAGAGGTGCATCAGGCAACATCTCTAGATGGAGGCAAGTGTGGTGGACTCTAATCTGGAGAATCAGGTTGGATTCCCTACTCCCCCTCCACGTGATCTTGGGCCAGTCCCAAGAAAAGTCGGGTATAAAAACACTCTTCTTTTTCTTTGAAAGTAAATAGTTATTTTCTTTTCCCTCTTTCTTATTTTGTTGATAATAAGCATTTGTTGCAAAGTCCGAAGGTCGATAACAAAAATTAGAAAACAAAAAGATAAAAAACAAAGTTTGAGTCCAGTGGCACCTTAAAGACCAAAGTTTTATTCTGGGTATAAGCTGTCATGTGCATGCACAATCTTTAGACAATTCTTCAGATAAAAAATAAGAAAATATTGAAACTATTTATTTTTGCATGCAGTATGGTCTGAGGTTCAATTCGTATCATCATTCCAGCTAACCAGAATTCTGTCTGAAGCAGTTAAAGCAGCCCTGGTTCATATCTGTCTCTGTCGGGATCTGCCTCCTCTTTATTGTTTTGAAGTTGGCCTAAACAGGTTCCCTTTTTCCGCTGATGAGAAATGTAGAGGTCTTCCTTCCCATCCCTTCATTCTGATCCTTTTATTCGTTCAGGTGACGTTTGGGAGAACAAGATTGAGGGGGAGCAATCAAGGATGTCACTTGGTGGAGTAACAGGGAGAGAAAAGGTGAGCAGAGAGGATGGAGAAGAGATGCAGGAGGGGAGGATGTCACAGAAGAATGGAGATTCATATGGAGGTATGCAAGATCAGAAAATGGAAACTAAAGTAAAAAACTACAATGGAAAGAAGAGAACAAAAAGCACTAAGTGCAGGGATAATATCAGTCTTGATGGACATGAAGGAATCCACAGAAGAGAAAAATGTACTTGCCTGGAATGTAGGAGGAGTGTCCGTCAGAGTGAAAGCCTTACTTCCCATCAAAGAATCCGTACGGGAGAGAAACCATATCAGTGCTCTGAGTGTGGAAAGAGTTTCCATAAGAGTTGCAACCTCACTGCCCATCAACGAATCCATACAGGAGAGAAACCATATCAGTGCTCAGAGTGTGGAAAGAGTTTCCGTGAGAGTGGCGCCCTCACTACCCACCAAAGAATCCATACAGGAGAGAAACCATATCAGTGCTCAGAGTGTAGAAAAAGCTTCAGTCAGCGTTCCAGCTTTACTACCCATCAAAGAATCCATACAGGAGAGAAACCATATCAGTGCTCAGAGTGTGGAAAGAGTTTCCGTGAGAGTAGCGCCCTCACTTCCCACCAAAGGATCCATACAGGAGAGAAACCCTATCAGTGCCCAGAGTGTAAAAAAAGCTTCACTCAGCGTTCCAGCCTCACTTCCCATCAACGAATCCATACAGGAGAGAAACCGTATCAGTGCTCAGAGTGTGGAAAGAGCTTCATTCGGAGATCACACCTTGCTTCCCATCAAAGAATCCATACAGGAGAAAAATTATATCAGTGCTCAGAATGTGGAAAGAGTTTCAGGTGGAGTTCACACCTTACTTCCCATCAAAGAACCCACACGGGAGAAACTATATCAATACTCAGAATGCAGAAAGAGCTTCACTTTGAGTGACACACTAATATTACATCAAATATTCCACATAGGGGAGTGATCCCATAGCTGTTCATTGGAATGGCCATCTAGATGCTGATTATCTAAAATTCGTCATGTAATATGTTTGGATGCTTTTATTAGTTTTCATGGATTGTCATTTGGTAACAGCTTTGAGCTTGTTTTGTGATGTCTGAATAATCTTATGTCAATATCAATAAATACATTTTATGATTTATTTTAATGAGAAGTTGTATGAATATTAGGTCCCAGGCTAACAGGGCCTGCGCGAATGTGTTATGTGCAGTCCAGCCATTCTGGCTTACTGTGACCCTCTGTATGAATGAATGAATCACCTCCAGAACAGCAGATGATGAACAATCTGGTTCAGGTTTTGGAAATGGAGGGCTGGGGCTTCATCACGTCCAGGTGCAGCCAGCAGTAACGCCACTTCCCAGCCCCCATTTTTGCTCCTGGGGGAGTGAGGTCCAAGCAGCAGGGGGCTATAGCGGGATGGGGGTGGGAGACAGCCACCCACGACTGACCATCTGGTAAGGCTGGTGGGAGTGTCTTCCACACCGTCAGGGCTGGGCAGGGGCAGTGCACTGCACAGAGTCCCACTTGGAGGCTTCGACAGGCCTCAGTCTAGAGGGGAGCAATGCTCCCTCTAAGCTGTGGGTTCTTGTGAGCAAAAATTCCACTTTGTGAGCTACTGGCATTAAAGCTGTGAACGAGTAATTTGGCTGCGGCATAAATTAGTTTGCTCTGGAGCCATCCTTCTTGAGCTGAAAATGTGTGAGCTGGAGGCTCAAAAACTGTGAACCAGCTCACACTGTTTAGGGGACCTTGGCTGGAAGGGCGGGATAAAAATTGAACAAATCAAACATTTGAGGGGAGGGGAGAACAGCACCTTAGGTCTTCCCCCCACACACACTACCCTCCACTGTAGCTGGTTCGCTGGCAGGAGGGCTACCCTGTTCTCCTGGGCCTGAGTCTCTTGCCCTGATGAGAGGCATAGCCTGTGGTACGTTGGCCCCTTCTTCTTCCTGCCCCCCCGAGGGTTGCCCCATCCTCCTGGGTTCATGGGCAGGAGTTAATGCCACCCGCCCGGTGTAACTTGGCCAGGCCGGCCTCCAGCCTCACCCTCCTTTAAGTGGCTGCCCTGCCTACCCCAGGCGACTTCTGCCAGGACATTCACCCTTCAGACCACGGCACGTGGCGGCTGCTCCTTCCTCGCCTCACCCTGGTTGGGTGTACCAGTGATATCTTGGGCAGGCCTGGCTTCTAGGGGGCTGACTTCCCTGCTTTGTCACCCCTTGGGGGCGGGGCTGAATTCCGCCGTCTGCTGCCCATTGCTGGGTGGGCTGCTCTGGCTGACCCTCTTCAGGGGTGCTGAGGCTACTTCTGGACACCAGGTTGGCCTGCCGTGAAGCACTCCTCGGTTCTCCGTTTGGCTGCCTTTGGCTTGTGACTGGGGCAGGATGTCGGGTGAGCTTCCTCTGTGGTAGTGCAATGTGGAGTCTTGGTGGGGGAAAGAAGGAGACATGCCAGAGATGGCCCAGGAGGAGATACAGGGCAGTGATCCTCATCCCCTCCACCCTGTGGGGGAGGGAGGTGTTTGGGTGTTCTCTTTATTTTTAACCTTTGCTGTATTAATTGTTATCTGTTTGTTGCCTTGAGCCAAGAGGGAAGGTGGGGTATAAATATTTTGAGGGGTGTGGGAATCTGTAAGACGCAGGTCCCACAGGTCTCTTCTCAATTCCTCCATTGGCACCGCAGAATGCTGGATCTACGAGGATTCAGTCTGTGCTCCTCGTAGATCTGGCACTTTAAAAAATAGCGCTGAGAAAAGGGTAACTACAAGGATTAACGGGGGTGGAACACCTTCCTTAGGAAGAAAGGTTAAAGAGGTCGGGGCTCTTTAGCTGGGAGAAACGATGATGGAGGGGTGACATGCCAGAGGTTTACCAATTTATTCATGCAATAGAGAAGGTTGAGAAAGAAGTACTTTCCCCCCTTTCTCACCATACAAGAACTCATGGGCATCTTTTTGTAACTTCCCATAGCAAAGCTGAAAATTAATAAAGGAAAGCTGCTGGTTTTTACAAACATCTCCATACCATAGTCTCAGTGAGCATTCAGCTATAAAATATAAAGTATTTTAATTTTCTAAAAACTCACAGCAAGTTAGAAGAGGGGGGTTTCGTCACCTCTTGTTCACCCCAATTAAGCTTTTCTGAAAACATCTTGACGAATTATTTCTTGATCCTTTGAAGTAAGGGATGCCACTATAAATCTCTAACTTTTGGCAGGTCATTAATAGGGCAGTCCATGCCATGTCAATTAAAAATCCTTTCACTGGCATCACAGCAGTTCAGTTCTATAAAAACAAAGTCTTTTCCTTTTTCAAAATAGGCTAAAAAGGGCATATATATATATAGCTATTGCTTATAGACTTCAATAGTTCAATATTGATAGGTTAAAGCAGCTCTCTTGTTATAGACTCCAATAGTTCAATATTGATAGGTCAAAGCAGCTCTCTTGAACACATGAAACTGTCTACTCAGAGTAGCAGCGGCTTTCCGGGGTCTCAGGCAGCGGCTACCCTGCTTCAACCTGACATCTAGCCAAGAACTATCCAATGTGCTCAAGGACCATGGCTTGGTGGCAGAGCATCTACCACCAAGCCACAGAGGGTCCCAGGTTCTCAAGTTGAAAGGATGAGACAGTATAGGCAATATGAAAGACCTCTGCTTGAGATCTTGTAGAGCTGCTGCCAGTCTGAGTAGACAATACTGACCTTGATGGACCAAGGGCCTGATTCAGTTTAAGGTAGCTTCACACGTTCAACTGCAGGAGCATTGCTAACTCAAACCTGAGATACTAGCTTTCTATGAGCAGGGAATTAGGACAGAATTCCCAGGGCATCCTACTATTTGTGTAGGAAATCTTTGCTCTGTGGCAGGACCATCCAAACAGTTCTGAAGTCAAACATTGCAGAAATAGATTCAGGTGGGTGGCCGTGTTGGCCTGAAGCAGCAGAGCAAAGTCTGAGTCCAGGGGCCCCTTTAAGACAAGCAACATTTAATTTTGGGTATAAACTTTCCTGTGCACGCACACTTCGTCGGATACACGTGAAAGAGTATACTCCAAAATCAAACTTTGTTCCATTACAGAACCACTCGCCCACCCCTCCCTCCTCTCAAAAGGCTTCCACTGATTGGTTCCCCAGTGGTTAAAGCAACCAGAGAATCGCGAGTCCTGCAGTGGGAGGAAGCAAGCGAAAGCAGCAAAGAGGAAATGCCCTTTCCTGTCCCTTCCGCTTGGGGACAAGGCAGCGGCCACGTGAGTTTCCGGACTCAAGAGGGGTGTGTGTGTCTCTACGCTGGTGAGTCGGGAGCGGGGCGAGTCGAGGGGCTCCGTTTTGGGGGTTCAGGCATTCACACCTATGTCAGATCTAAAGAAGCGTGTGATCACAGCCTTAGAGACATGCTTTAAAGTATTAAAGCTGGGAATTCAGATAAACTGCTACACCCATCATTAAAATAATATATCAATATAGTGATATTCTAGCGAATATTTTTTAAAAAATGAAAAATCCCTGGTGTCCAGGGAAATGGTGGGTGGCCACTTCTAGAGGACTGGGAAACTATGGGGAAGTCTTCCATGTTGAAGCCCCATTGCTACTGCTCTTTATCTGCAGCTGCACCAGAAGTGAGGAAACCACCAAATTCTGTCCCTGTGTTGAAGACACGAGACCAATGCTCCCTCTAATCTGTGGAGTCTTCTGAGCAAAAATTCTACTTTGTGAGCTGCTGGCATGAAAATTGTGAGCAAGTGATTTGGCTGCTGCATAAATTCGTTTGCTCTGGAGCCACCCTTCCTGAGCTAAGACAAAAATGCATGAGCTGGAGGCTAAAAAACGGTGAGCTAGCTGACACCAACTCATCTTAGAGGGAACACTGGGTGGGACCTGGCGGGTTTCCTGGTGAAGCCTTTAGTGAAAGAGAGATTGGGGGGAGGGGGCAAGAGGGGAGCTGCAAAGGGCATTTCCGCACAGGTTCCATGTTGTTCGGAAGAGGGTTTTTGTTTCTTTCTTTCTTGCAGCTCCAGGGGTTTCTCTGGCTGTTCTGTGATCTTCCCCAAACCTGGTTTGCAATTCTTGCAGAAAGAGATCAGTAAAGCCTGGATGGCTGCCATTAGGGTAGGGAATTTTCTCACCCACTTGGCAGCCGTTTTTGGTATCTGTGACCCACTCCAGCCATTTTCTCTCCCACCACTAGAGAGCGCTGTTTTCTTTTATTGATAAGTATCTGAGATGGGTCGCCATGTTAGTCTGCCTGCCTGTCACAGTAGAAAAGAGCAAGAGTCTAGTAGCACCTTCAAGACTAACAAAATGTGTGGCAAGGGAGGAGCTTCTTTTAGTCACTGCTCACTTCTTCAGACACTTTTTCAGTATCTGTGCAATGACTCAGAAAAGTTCCTCCCCGCCACACATTTTGTTAGTCTTAAAGGTGCCACTGGACTCTTTGTTCTTTTCTACTGAATAATTGAATATCCTTATGTTAGGATAACGTTAGAGCGATCAGTGTCCCAGGAACTCTGAAGTCCCATTTTTAATTTAGGAAAAAACATTCTGTAGCCCCTTTCTTTGTGGAAATATAAGGGGAAAGGCATGTAATTCCCTTTTTTTAATGAAAACTGATAATTCAGAGAACCTGATACACTGATAGTTATAATGTTGATATTCTAGTGACAATTAAAAAATTCAAAAAGCCCCTCTGGCAAGGCAGAGACAGGTGCAGGCACAAGGACAATCCAGACTGTCTCACCCCCACATCACCCATGAAACTTTGCTGGACTATTCCCAAAACTTGTCCGCAACATAGGTTAAGGACAGAGAAAAGCTGGAGGAACACTGGGAGGTGCATAAACATACCATGATGCAGTGGGGAAGGAGGGGGGGATGCTTCCCAACCCCACTGAATGTGGGGCAAATGGAAAAGGTGTGGAAAGGGAAACTCCTCAGACCTCAGGAGGAGAACTAGCCCTACTTCTGTGTGGAAGATGCAAATCACTGGCCCACCTTTTCTCCCCTGGCAGGCAGTGAAATGAGATCAGAGAGCCTGCCTGGATCGCCTCTTTCTTATGCTGCAGTGGACCCCTCAGCCAGGCGACTGGCTCAGGTAAGGGAATGAAAGAGTCCTGTGGGAGTAGGATCCACAGGGGGCAATTTGGGTGGTCCCAACTTCGAGAGGACCCCTCTCCTGCCCTTGGCTTTTGGGTCTGCAAAGGGTCCCTGGTGTGAGCTCCTCTGGTTTTCCCCCTTGAAGTGGTGAACCTGCCAGGGAACATCCTCGTTGTCTCCATCTGTGTGTTTTGTGTGTGGGGGGGTTCCTGGTCACATGCGCACACATAGCCTGTCTATCCGGATTCATCGGGGTGGAAATGGTTTTCTGGTTTCAGGGACCGGTGTCTTTCAAGGAGGTGGCCGTGTACTTCACCACAGAGGAATGGGCCTTGCTGGATCCGTGCCAGAGAGTGCTGTACAGGGAGGTCATGCTGGAAAATTATGGGATGGTGGTCACTGTGGGTAAGAATCCCTTGAATGCTTGCTCAGGGGACAAATTTCTCTTGTTATTGTTGTCTATGGAAGGAGTGGGGAAAAGGTTAGTGAGAAGAAATGAGAGAAGAGATTGGATTTATACCCCACCCTTCATTACCCAAAGGAGTCTCAGTGCGGCTTACAATCTCCTTTCCCTTCCCCTCCCCACAGCAGACACCTTGTGAGGCAGTTGGGGCTGAGAGAGCTCTTTCAAGGACTGCTCTTGAGAGAACAGCTCTGAGGGAACTTGTGACTGACCCAAGGTCACAAGAAGAAAGCCTTGGCTGTACCTCCTCTCATATTTCGGGCCAGCCATTTTCTAAAGTCTCTTTCCAGAGAGGGGAGCCCTGATCTGATGGTTCCGTGTCAGGCCCAAGTCTGTTGCCAATTTAGGAGGCACTTTGGGGGGCTTGATCCAGGTGGGCAGCTGTGTTGGTCTGAAGCACTAGAACAAATTTTGAGCCCTTTAAGACCACAACGGTTTACTCAAGGTATGAGCTTTTGTGCACATGCACACTTCTTCAAAAGTACATTTTTGGCTTAGTTAGATCCCTGGATGTACCTGAGCCAAAAATGTACCTGTCATGACCTCAGGGGGTCTCCACCTTCTGCTGCCACCACGCTGGACGTATGGTCCCTTGAGAAGGCCCAGGGTACCTTCCAAAGCCCCTTCAAATTGCCCCTTTTGTAGCCGAGAATGTAAGCGTGTTGTGACCAGGCAGAGAAATGGTTGGAACAAAACGGATTTTGTTATTACAGAACTGGGCAGGGGAAAAACAAGACAAGACAAAGTGCTTTAACATACACAACAGTGCTGAAAGGCCAAAAGAAACACAAAGCTAACGCAGCTACCTATTACCACTTTCAGGCCCACAGCCTGTCAGGCTATACTACCTGTTCTCACCCTGTCCCTGTGAGGAATCCTTCTCTTCCCCAGACCAGCGTGTCCCCTCAGTGAGACCAGGCCACAGAGGAACGAAAGCAGTGAGGGATCTTTCTCTCACCCAGACCAGCCTGTCCCCGCAGTGAGACCAGGCCACAGAGAGAGACGAAAGAATACCCTTATCCCCAGTTAACAGCTTCAGTCACCAACCCTCAGAGAATCCCTGCACTCTCATTGGCTAAAAACCATCCCCAAGCATTGTGGGGATTGTAGGCTGTCTGTTTTCTACTCCCAGACAGGCCCCTCCTAGAGCTTAGGCCTCTAGGCCCTGCCTCCGTCCTGCACAGATCATGACAGTACCTCTGAAGAAGTGTGCATGCACGTGAAAGCTCATACCTTGAATAAACTTTTGGGAGAATCATCATGGCTCAGATGGCTCATATTGCAGTTCTTTAAGAATACTGCAGGGTAGGCCACCCCTACTGTCCCCATATTACAGATGGAAGGTGGGGGGGGGAGAAATACCAGTTTTGCTGAGGACAACTTGTGAGCTAGTGGAAACCAGATCTTTATTATTTATTTCTTCGATTTATACCCTACCCTCTCTGCCAGGCAGGCTGGGGGGGCCACCTTCTCTGTCCAAATCCATCCTCAGCCCCCCACCTTCTCTGTCCAAATCCATCCTCAGCATCTTTAGCTAAGAAGGGTCTGAAAGAGGATGGCGTGAAGATGCTGCTCTCTGCCTGAGACCTTGGAGAGCCCGAGGCATTGGGAGCGCTCAGTGCTGGGCAGGATGGGCCAGTGGTCTGACTCGGACAGTTTCATATCCTTCTCTCTCTCTGTTTCCAGAAGGACGCTGGGGTTCCACGCCTCCCCTCATCTCCTGGCTCCAAGAAGAAGTCCTCTTTCTCCAGGGATCCACAGAAGACCCCCAGTCAGCAGGTCAGTGCTCAGGTGCTTCATGGGAAAACCCCTCTGCCTGCTGCAGGAAAACATGCACGGTCATTAAGGCAAGACATGACGTGATCAAAATATTGCTACAGACAGGCTGATCAGAAGAAGTCATAGAGCACAGCCATAAGGAAATGCAGCAGGCAACTTCTCCAGAGGGATGATTTGAGGCCAAAGGAGAAACTAATTAATTATGTTCGGTCATTTCTTTCTTATTTTGTTGATACTCAGCATTTTTTGCAGAATGACCAGAATTAGAAACCAATATGATGAAAACTAAAAAACAGTACTATGTATTTATTCTCACATACAGTACAGTTTGAGGGTTAATCCTTATCACCTTCCCAGCTAACCAATATTCTATCTGGACCAGTAACAGCAGCCATAGTTCACATCTGTCCCTCTTGGACCCGCCTCCTCCTTATTGTTTGAAACTAGGCTTAAACAATTACTTTAAAAAGAAATGCAAGTATTCCCTAGAATAACAAATCCATTTTCTTTTCTGTTTAGAAAGGTAGCCTCTTCCTTCCCGTCACTTCATGAAGCTCTTTTCTTTCCTTCAGGTGATGTTTGGGGGACCGATATTGAGGGGGAGCATTCAAGGATGTCACTTAGTGGAGTAGCAGCAACTGAAAAGTTGAGCTGTGAAGATGGTGAAAAGATGCTGGAGGGGAAGCAGACACAGAAGAAAGGAGATCCATCCGCAGCTCTACAAGTTTGGGAAATGGAAAGTCAAGTCAAGCTCTGCAATGGAAAGAAGAGGAGAAAAAGTACTAAGTGCAGGAATAATTTTAGTCTTGATAGACATCAAGGCATTCACAGAGGACAAAAATGTTATCAATGCCTGGAATGTGGAAAGAGTTTCAGTAAGAGTTCACTTCTTATTTCCCACCAAAGAATCCATACAGGAGAGAAACCATATCAGTGCACAGAATGTGGAAAGAGCTTCAGTCAGAGTGGCTCCCTCACTTCCCATCAACAGATCCATACAGGAGAGAAACCGTATCAGTGCTCAGAGTGTGGAAGGAGTTTCTGTAGAAGTGACTCCCTCATTTCCCATCAAAGAATCCATACAGGCGAGAAACCGCATCAGTGCTCAGAGTGTGGAAAGAGCTTCAGTCACAGTAGCAATCTCACTTCCCATCAACGAATCCATACAGGAGAGAAACCATATCAGTGCTCAGAGTGTGGAAAGAGCTTCAGTCACAGTTGCAACCTCGCTTCCCATCAACGAATCCATAGAGAAGAGAAACCATATCAGTGCTCAGAGTGTGGAAGAAGTTTCAGTAGAAGTTACTCCCTCATTTCCCATCAAAGAATCCATACAGGAGAGAAACCATATCAGTGCTCAGAGTGTGGAAAAAGATTCAGTCACAGTAGCAACCTCACTTCCCATCAAAGAATCCATACAGGAGAGAAACCATATCAGTGCTCAGAGTGTGGAAAGAGTTTCAGGCAGTATTCCACCCTCACTTTGCACCAAAGAATCCATACAGGAGAGAAACCATATCAGTGCTCAGAGTGTGGAAAGAGTTTCAGGCAGTATTCCACCCTCACTTTGCACCAAAGAATCCATACAGGAGAGAAACCATATCAGTGTTCAGAGTGTGGAAAGTGCTTCGCTCAGAGTCATGCCCTCACTTCACATCAACGAATCCATACAAAAGAGAAACCATATTAGTGCTCAGAGTGTGGAAAGAGGTTGACTCAGAATTGCAACCTCCATTCCCATCAATGAATCCATACAGGAGAGAAACCATATCAGTGCTCAGAGTATGGAAAGAGTTTCAGGCTCATACGCAACCTCACTTCCCATCAAAGAACACATGCAGAGGAGAAACCATCTCAATACTCAGAATGTGGAAAGAGCTTCACTCAGGGCGACACACTGTTTTTACATGAAACACTCCACATAGAGTGGGGATTGTTTCAGTCTTCCCACTAAGCTGCACACATGAGCAGTCGGTTATTAATCAAATAAATACTCAAAATTTTCCTTGCATTGTCCACCTTATTCCCCTTCAGATTTCTTCCCACTGAGAGTAACATTTACCCTTTTAAATATTTTTTGTTTAAATCTTTGTTCTTCTATCTCCATCTGTTTTGTTTTCTGTCTAGTACAATGTCTTGGAAAATGTGATTTAAGTTTATCTCACAAGTGTAATAACAGCCTCGGCCTAGTAGGTGGGTGGGTGGCTTCTTCTGTCTGTGCTTCTGCCCGGCCTCTCTGTCCAGCCTGTGTCCTTTGGATGGTGCCCCTTGCCAAGGTCAGCTTGAGGCTCGGTCGACCATGGCTGCGAATTGTTCTTGAATGTTTCTGCTATAACCCCTCCCCAAATAAGCTGTCGCTGTGAGAAAGGACAGATCAGATGTTTTGCCCACAGAGCAGGAAAATCCAAGCAAAACACACCTGAGTCAGGTGGAAAACATCGGGCAGGCAGGAGGACTCGGGCAACTTCTCAGGCAGGGGGGAGAACCGGCTCCTTCCAGGCTGAGTTGCTTCAGGACAGGATTTCCTGGTCAAGACACCCACCCACCCCTGGCAGCACAGTGGGGGCCACCGTGGACTCCCCTCCTGCTTCCCAGCAGCCTTCATCCTGGGTCTGAACAGTGAACAAGGGAAGGAGAGGATCTTGAAACCCAAGAAGGGCTGCCCCCCAATTTGCCCCTCCCTGAGAGACATTTTGGCCTGGACTCCTCCATGGCCCCCCCTTCAGAACATCCTTGGCTTTCAGTTGCAGATTATAATTCCTGTTTACGAATCCTGACAGTGGTGAGAAAGATCACCTTTAGCTCCATATGTGTGCAGACCTTGTTATATTTATTTAGAATATTTCAGCTCTTGGTGAGAGCCAGTTTGGTGTAGTGGTTAAGTGTGCAGACTGTAATCTGGAAGAACTGGGTTTGATTCCCCACTCCTCCACATGGTGTGACCCTAGGTCAGTCACAAGTTCTCTCAGAGCTGTTCTCTCAAGAGCAGTCCTTGAAAGAGCTCTCTCAGCCCCAGCTACCTCACAGAGTGTCAGTTTTGGGGAGAGGAGGAGAAAGGAATATGTAACCACTCTGAGACTCCTTCGGGTAGTGAAGGGTGGGGTATAAATCCAATCTCCTTGTCTTCTCATCCAAGTCCTACTCGGCAGCTGACGATTAAAAAACCCACAATGTTAAAACACAAGCCATAAAAACCAGAGCCTTTGGACTGCAGCAGCATAAAAACTATATAAAACAGAAGCAGGCCCTTCAAACATCTGAGAACTAAGGATGGTGTGTATTCAAAGGGGAAGGTTTGTTCTTGAAGAAGACCTGCACTGTTTCATGTAAGGGAGGGGTAATCATGTTTAAAATACATATTTAAAATAACTAAGAAGGGTATCAGCAAGAAGGATTAGTCATCTCCTGTGTGTTTCTTGTGGGAAGGGAACTTTAGTGTTTGTGGGGGTAGGGGGGTTGTCTTTTTTCCCCCAATGGCCTGTAGACTACAGGGAGGAAGTGGGCGAGATAAATAAGACTGGGGGTGGTGGTCTCCCAATAGAAATGAGAGGGGAAGGGGCTGGTCAAACAAAACCAAGTCCTTGAAGTAAAGGATAATTAATATAGGGACTTCTGTCTCCCGAAAATGGGGTTATGGTCCCCGTGTATGAATGCAACCAGCTCATCTCGGCAACCACCCCCCAGACAACGCAATCTGCTCCAGCGAAGGCTTTAAAGGCCTGCCCGTCTGCCTGAGATTGTTGGGTGATAGTGAGATATTGAAAAAATGGTATTTAGCAGAGAAAAGATGGTCCAGCAGAGCCAGAGTAAAATAATTCAGACTCGGAGTCCATGTGTGATTAAAATATAAAGTTTTTACTAAATTCTAGCATGGGGAAGGGTAACTGGGATGAAAATAACAACAGAGCATAATCGGCTACATCTTTACTCTACAAAGACAAAACTAGAAGAGAGAGAGACCATGGCTACTCTTCTTGTTCTTCAGAACACCAAACAAAGACGGGAAGAGAAGCCATAAAATGGTAATAAACCTTGACACTTTAGTCCCAATCAAATTCCTAGATCAGGGAGAAAATTCCCGGTTATTTTATAGCTAAAGAACATTGGTTACATGAAAAACATGTGACTTCCTGTGAGTAACATAAACAAACATTTAACCCCAGATATACTGAGTGTTTTCAACTTGTAATACCCAACAGAGATGCAGCTTTCTAAAAGGAGGACTTGGCAGCTGAGAACCCCCCTCCACTGTGGCCGCACTCTAGCAGTTCTCAAGTGAAAAAATTCATCCGATCAAGAATTTGGTCTGGGTATTTAATGACTGAGCCAGTTTCCTTTGGAAAAGAGGTGCTCTCATCTTCCAGTGAAGCTCTCTTTGTGTGTTTACTTGATGAATACCCTATTTCTCTCCCCCAAAGGGACCCACAGAAACCTACACGATTCTCCCCTGCTCTGCCTGATCCTGACAGGAACCCTGTGAGGTAGGCCAGGCTGAGAGGGGGTGATTGGCTCACTGCAGCAAACCAGCTCTCAGGTGGGCTGCCGTGTTGGTCTGAAGCAGCAGGACAAAATTGGAGCCCACCCAGGCAGGCACCTTGAAGACCAACAAAATTTCATTCTGGGGACCTCCGGTTTTTGCAGCTTGCTGCTTGGACGTGTCCCATCAAGCTCTTGATGGAGACGCACTGTGGTGATCAGGAGAGATCTTGGCTGGTTCCCAACCCCCCGAAGTCTCTGTAGGAGACTCCCAGCCTGGGGAGCCGGGACAAGCCTCTTGCCTGTCCCCGAGAGGTCCTGATGGTGTGAAGCCAACATGGCATCCAGAGCTGACCCCCGGATGTGCGGACAAGAAAATAAGCGAAATCTCTACCTGCAATGACTAAACTCGTCTAAACAGTGAGTTCAGCAAACCTCTACATAAGCGATTAAGTCTCTGTCTCCTGAAACGGGCAAAAGAGCGGCAGGTGGGGGAAG